AATCTTGCTCGGTCACCCAGGCTGGAGTGCAGTGGCTCACTTCAACCTCTGCCTCCTGGATTCAAGTGATTCTCCTGACTCAGCCTCCTGAGTAGCTGGGATTATTGGTGCCCACTACCATGGCTTGCTAATTTTTGTATTTTTAGTAGAGATGGGGTTTCATCATGTTGGCCAGGCTGCTTTAGAACTCCTGACTTCAAGTGATCCGCCCGCCTCGGCCTCCCAAAGTGTTGGGATTACAGGCGTGAGCCACTGCACCTGGCCTGATTTATCTTTATCTTTGTCCTCTGTATATAACTTGTGGTTTTTCTCTGATTGTTTTTGTGATTTTTCTCTTTCTTGCTGGTGTCAGGTAAATTGATTATGATGTGCTTAGGTGTAATTTTCACTGAGGTTTCTTATGCTTTGGGGTCATAGAACTTCTTGGATATGTGGGTTCATAATTTCATCAAATTGGAACATTGTAACCACTTTTACTTCAAATATGTTTTCTGTCTCTTCCTCCCACATCCACCCTCAGAGATTCACATCCATGTATATTGTAATTAGAACCACCTTCAAGGTGTCTCAAAGCTCATGGATGCTCTTTTTTCCCTTCAGTCACTTATTCTATGTTTTCCTTTGGATAGCTTCTATTGCTACATCTTCAAATTCTTTAATCCTTTCTTCTATAGCATCGAACCTGCCACTGTTCTCGTCGAGTATAATTTTTCAGGCACTGTGTTTTGAATCACTTGAAATTCAATTTGGGTCTTTTTATAACTTCTTTGTCTCAAATTAACATGGTCAGTCCTAATTTTAACTTCATAAATATGTGGAATAGAGTTATAACAACTTTTAACATGCCCTTTCATATTACTTCTATCATCTGCATCATTTGTGGATTGAGTTTCACTTACTGACTTTTCTTTTCCTGTGAAGCATGATTTTCTGCTTCCTGTCAAGAACTGTGAAGACTCTGAGATTTTACCCTACTTGAGTTAGTTAGCCACAATTCCATGAATGCTGACCAAAGACAAAGACTCCTGGTCAAAGATAAAAAATAGTTGATTGTTCAGAGAAATCGCAGTAATCAGAGTGTTAGTGTCTGTTCTCTGAGTCCCAGTTCCCACATGGTGCCATAGGTGGACCAGCTAATTCCTGCACTCAGTGGGTAATATCATAGGGGAGGAATCTTAAACTTAGAGAATGTATTAGTCTATTTTCATGCCGCTATGAAGCATGGGTAAAGACTGGGTAATTAAAAAGAAAAGAGGTTTAATGAACTCACAGTTCCACATGGCTGGGGAGGACTCATGGCTGAAGGCAAAGGAGGTGCAAAGGCATGTCTCACATGGTGGCAGGCAAGAGATCATGTGCAGGTAAACTCCGCTTTATAAAGCCACCAGATCTCGTGAGACTTATTCACTATCATGAGAATAGCATGGGAACGCTCACCCCTATGATTCAGTTACCTCCCACAGGGTCCCTCCCACAATACGTGGGGATTATGGGAGCTACAATTCAAGATGAGATTCGGGACAATAAGTATGGACAATAAGTCTGTCTGCTTTTTAAACTGAATAGAGACATGATCCTTTTCAAGGATACAAGCAGTGCCTTTTCTCGCAAAATACGCAGACAAATGATAGATGCATGGAGAGTTGTCTTGCAATACTTCTTTGCATGTCTGGTAATTTTGTTGATTTTACTTTGTTGGGTACAAGATATATTTATATTTTTTATAAATATTTTGAGCTTTATTCTAAAGTGCAATTAAGTTACTAAAAAATATTTTGATCCTTTCAAGTCTCACTTTTAAGCTCTATTGGGGAGGACAAGAGCAGCATTTAGTTTGTTGCCTGTTTTGCTCCACGACTAAGGCAAAAACCTTCTGAGTTCTTAATGAATGTTCAGGTTCTCCAGTCTGGCTGGTGGGAATAGGCACTTCTTCTAACCCTATGCAAACTCCAGGTATCACTCTGTCAGATACTTTTTAGTGTTCCTATCCAATTGAAGACTGAGGGGTTCCTTCTGTAAACTTCTGAGCATGCTCTCCCTGAAGCTCTCTTCTCTAGAATGCTGCCTCGCAAACTTTAGCTACCCTGGCCTCCCAGGATTCTCAGCTCTATCTCCTCAACGTAGTTTGCTGGGCTCTCCCTGGGTTCCCCCTCTTTGCACCACAGCCTGGAAACGCTCCAGGTAGCCAGCTGGGCAATCACAGGCATAACCTCATTTCCTGACTCTCAGGGCCACTGAGAATGACAAAGCTACAACACTAGTTGGTACTTTTACTCTTCATGTTCATGGAAAAGCATCAGCTTAAAACATCAACTGAAAACTAATTTACCTCATTCCCATAAATGCCATTATTGTGGTATATTTTAATGTTTTGCATATCTTAACTCCATAAGACATTATTGCCATTCCTGATTTATACCATCAATATTTATTTAGACTTATCCAATAATTACCATTTACCTTGCTCATAATTCCTTCCTTTATCTTTGGCCTTCTGTCCGGGATTAATAGCTTTCTACTTACAGAATATCAGAATTCTCTGGTGATAAACTGTGCCTTTTTTTTTTGGTCCAAAATGTCCTTAATTAACCTTTACTCTTGAAACATACTTTTCCCCCGGGTTTGGAATTCTTGGTTCACAGCTATTTGTGGTTGTATCATCTCCTTATTTTCATCATATATATTGAAAAGTCCGCTATCAGTCCAACTGCTTGAAGATAGCTTTTCAGATCTTCTGTTTATCTTTGTTTTTCAGTAATTTTACTGTGATGGGCCTTGTGTATTTATTATTTATAATATTTATATTTACTTATTTATTTGTTTACTATGATGGGCATTGTTGTGAATTTATTTATTTATATTTATTCTGCTTGGAGTTCAAAGAGCTTTTGTAACATTTGGCCTAATATCCTTCGTCAATGTAGGAAATTTCTCACCATAATTTCTTCAGCTATTGCTTCTGCCCAGTTGTCTCTCTCCTTCCTTTGTGGGACTCCAACTGTATTTGTGATAGACTCTGTCATCAGATCCTTAATATCTTTTTCCCTTTCTTTAGCATTTTCCATCCTTTTTTCCCCTACCATTTTTAATTTGGGGTATATTTTGACCTACCCTCTAGTTTACAAATTTTCTTTCACCTGTGTCTAATATGTTGTTCTGTCATAAATTCCTTCATTGAATTCTTAATTTCATTGCAAAATTTATTTTGTTTTGAATGTCCAGTTCTCAGCTAAAATTTCCAATCTTTATCTCCTTATACATACTCAGCAAAATTATCTTATACTTTGTGTTTACAACTCTAATATTTTCAGCTCATATGGGCTTACTTCTCTTGCCTTATTGTTTTGTTTTTCATGTTACCTTTTTTCCTTCATTTTTCCTGGGTATTTTTTATGTGTGTGCTGGACATTATATTTTGCAAATTATTTATATAAATGATTTGAAGTCTATGACACTCTTTTTCGCTCCTAGTGGATATTTTACATTTGCTTTTCTTAGATGCCTGAAGGAACTAGCAATCAGGGTTGGTCTTAGCTTAATGTGGGGATTGAGATGATTTGAAGCTGGGCAGCAGTCACTCAGAAGACCAATCTACTGCTCATTCATTCTTCCTGCTAGGATATATATCTTTGGGGTTTCAACCCCAAAACAGAGAGTTTATCAGGGGCCATTGCCTTATTCAGCAATGGAGTTCCAGATACCTTCTGCAGAATCAGCAAATGCCTTAAGGTAAAAATAGTTTCAAATTCTGGGTTCATATATCTGGAGATTCATTGCCTCCCAGAACTTAGCCTGACAGTTCTTCAGTATTTTATTAGCTCATTGATGCCTTCAAACAGTCTCTCTCTCCATATGTGTATAATATATAACATATAAATATATATATTTTTTGTCCAGTTGTCTTCAGTAGGAGAGATGGTCTAAATTATTTAGACTTTTATTATTGAAGTCTAGTCTCTCCTTTTTCTCATTTTCAAACAACACATACTATAAATGTCAAAGTTAAAGACACATATTTAGGTAAGATATTTTGATACTAATTTTGACTAGTTATTTCAACATTATTTGATCGAACATAATTACTTCAACATGTTCATACATTTAATCAGCGTCTTCCCATATAGTCTCATTCTCATGTGCCTTCCTCAGTCTTGAGTGTTGACTTCCTTTCTATATTTATTGTTTTCGCTCAGGCCTTCTGTTAGTTTATTCAGAAAAATATGCCTGGATGGCATATTTTCTTCCTCTTTGTATTCCTGAGAAAGTATTGCTCTGACTTTATGTATAAATAATTACTTCATTAAATATGGAAACTGTGCCCTTTAGAACTCTGGAAACTATGACTCCATTTTTTCTAGTGTTTAGGGTTGTGGAAGAAGGTGAAGGCTAATCTGATTCTGGTGGTTTTAATTACTACCTGATTTTGATTATGCTTAAAGAGCCTTTCTTTATCATTTACCTTCAGAAATTCCATAAAGCTATGCAAGTGTCTGTTTTCATTTGAGTTTTCCCTTTGCCTATGAATATAATGTGTACTGTCATGGGTGGAAAAGTGGTTTATATTAGGACTTTTTTTTCCTGTTATTTTTCTAAAGATTGTTTCATTTCCATTTGTTCTATACTTCCTTCTTGATATCCCAAGAATATGTGAATTTAATACCCTGCATTTATTCTCCATGTTTTTTCAATGAAAATATTTATTCTCATTGTGATAACACACTCATCTCAGTGTTTGCAAACTCAGTGCTTACAGAATTTAGGCAAGTAACAATAAACAAAATAAATGAAGCCAGCCTGGTACAAAAGTAAAGAGGGATGAAGGCTCTGGAAAGCAAAAGTGTCACCTAAAGATAGCAGCTACTGATCAACTGGTATTCAGTGCTAATAAAGTGTGACTGGAATTCAATTTTTTTTTCCCAGAAAAATTCAAGTTTGTGGGTTTTTCTTTTCTGTTTCCTAGCAGAAGAAAAGAAAAGCTAATAAAGGATCTCACAACTTACCATCAGGACGATCTTGTTTACACACAGAATGATCTGTCACTTCGCCGCCTTTTATAGTATTGTCATCCTTTGCAGAATCTAACAACAAACAAGCAAAACGTTTAGTCAGCATTTTTAACTTGGAAATAGAGCAGATTTCAACACTAACATGACAGATTTATGTTTGAGGAAAAATAGAATTTATTAGTTTTAAAAATAACCATTCAAATACATATGTTTGCCAATAAATAAGCTTTTTTAAAAAAAATAGTACGATGTAAGATATCTGCTGAAAGCTTGCAAAGGTAAAGATGTAGCTGGGATATCTTTTTGTGACAAATAAGAAAATCTAAGCAGGTTTTTTACACCAGGGAAAGTCTTAGAATTGCAGGAAAGGATATAAAAGGAAGGCAAAATAGAGAAGATTAAAGGACTATCTAATTTTAATGTTCTTAGTGCTTCCATTACTGTGTTTGCTCACATATGGGAGCCTTGCGTCCTTGAAAAAGTCAGATACAGAACCTTGAAATCCAGTGGTAATTAAGTTCATCTTCCTCAGGAACTGTAGTGGTTGAACAATAGCATCGAGGGAATTTAGACCTTCTAGGCCCTGCAATGGCATTTCCTCATTCGTTTAGCACATTTAAACATGGAATCATCGTACACTTACGTTTTTTTGTTGTAGGATATGGTTACAGGAAAAAACATGGCTAAAAGGATTCTGTGACTATGGGCTATTGCAGAGCTACAAAGGGCTCCTTGATGAATGTTTAGGCCTCCTGGAGGCGGTTTAAAAAAGCATTGGAATGATCCTGTGAATGGATCAACAGGAAGACAGCAAGTAGGTCTCTCGTTCATTTCCCAGACATTTATTAATGGTCATGTATATGCCAGACACTTTTTTTAGACAGAGTCTTGCGCTGTTACCTAGGCTGGATGCGGTGGTGCAATTGTAGCTCACTGCAACCTCAAACTCCTGGGCTCAAGTGATCCTCCTGTTCCAGCCTCTGAAGTAAGCTAGGACCATAGGCACAGGCCACCATGCCCATCTGGTTTTCTAATTTTGTGTATAGGTAGGATTTTGCAATTTTGCCCAAATTGGTCTTGAACTGCTGGCCTCAAAGGATCCTCATGCCTCATACTACCAAGTACTGGGATTATAGGCGTGAGCCACCACACTTGGGCAACACTGTACTTGATGCTGGGGAGCCAACAGGAAACAACCAAATCTCTGCCCTCCTGGAGCTTATAGTCTAGTAGATATTTTTCATGCTGCTGAAAGGAAAGCAATCCAAAGATATCTAAAAGCTATAAGCTAATCAAGCACATGGCCATGGAGAAAGCTGGGGGTGGTACACCAACACCTTGATTACTTACAAATGGGTTCTCTACTGGATTCGTGTCTATTGGTTGTCTTTTAACTCCCTAACAGAGCTGAATCAGATGGAGTCTAAAATAAACCACTGTTTGTTTGTTTCCTTTTCTCTCCTCCCTCTGTCTCCACTCCTTCCCTCTCAAAATTAGGAGACAGCTTTAAACAATATGGTTTGGAATATTATGAGAAAGTTTGTTTCTTGAACCTGCCACAAGCAACATTTGATGGACAAGTGAGAAACCTGGGCAGTTAACATATGATTCAAATTTAATAACCAGTGAAACAAGTATTAATATATAACTGAAGTGTGTGGTTTTAATTAACTGCAAATAATTCCCCCAAGGCAAATGTTTAATTATCTGCACTGCTTCTTATTTCTTTCTGAAACTGAAAATAAGTTTAAAAGTCCAAATTTGGAAGCAAAACTGAGCACAGACGCATTTTCCAAATTGTTATCTAACTCATGTCAAATTGTTTGAAACCAGCTCCCATTAAAATATGCTGTTTTAATTTTGGAGCTAAGATGTCAATTGAAAAAAAAATTTTGATTTTTTTTTTCATACTAACACTAAAAATAAACAATGATTGAAAAAGATATTATCTAGATCAGGCTAAATTTTAAATTTAAAAGTGTTTTAGTTATACTTATTTATTAAAAATGGTATTACTTGATATTTAGTCTTGTACAACATTAATTTTTCTCAACATACTGTTGTAGAATTATCCAAGATTTTGTATTTAGTTAAAATTTATTCATTTATACTGAACAATAATTCATTGTCATGAATCATAATTTTACATAAACTTTATGATTCTGCACCAAATATTACATAAGAAATGTCTTTAAAATGATGATTTACACTGAGTTTACAAGTTTATGATCTAATGAGTCACATAAGATGGGTAAAAAGCATTTGAAAAAGTACTCACCAGACTGTGTCTGCTTTGTCACGAAAATCTATGTCTTTAGCAAATAAATTATCTCTGTAATTTCAATATTCTTGAGGAGTTGCTTTAACATTATTAAGGCACCTTCTGATATGTTTCTATATAATGCATTTCATTGCATCCAAGATACCATCAGTTGCTATTTGCGCTACTATTTTATGTAGTATTAGAAGAAAATGCTACCAGATGAACTAGAACTCATTACCAATCCTACAATGTGTCCTGACTTTAGAAATAAAATATATGAAAGAATATGCATCTTAGAAACATGCTGTTTCAGTATATGTGATGTGTGGACACAAATATACATGTCTTATGTGATGACAAGGATTTCATATCCACCTGGCCCATCACCAAGCCCACAAGTTCACTTTGTCATGTATGTGAGACTCTTCTCCAGAAATGGTTCTACCTCCAAACACATCAATAAAGTAGGATGAAAAGTATTACATAACCTCATGACAGTATTCACAAATAAGCAGGTACCTATAGAAGATGGTTTCCACCAAAGTTACTTTATTAACAAGGATCTTTGAATTTCTAGTCTTATCATCTTTCGCAGGCCTAGATGTGATTCTGTATGTTTTAAATCATGGATTCATTACGTTATGCTTAGTTGTAGGTTTGAAATGGTAGTGCAGCTTTTCTGCTTAGAGGTGATGAAAGCCGCACTGAATATGTACATGAAATAATTACTTATAATGATGGAGGAAGAAAATACATATATTCATGGTCTGAATGTTTGTGTCCCCCTAAAATTTCTAAGCTGAATTTCTAACTGATAAAGTGATTTAGGAGGTGGGGGCCTTAGGAAGACGATCAGGTCATAAAGGTGGAGACTTCATGAATGAGATTAGTGTCCTTATAAAAAATATTTTAAAAAAGGGCCCAGAGTTCCCTTACCCCTTTTGCCATGTGAGGACACAGTTAGAAGGCACCATCTATGAACCAGAAAGTGAGTTCTCACCATATACCAAATCTGCTGGTGCTTGATCTTGGACTTCCCAGTCTCCAGAACTATGAGAAATAAATTGCTATTGCTTATAAGCCAACCTATTAATGGCATTTTGTTATAGGAGCATGGATGAAGACACCAGTGTATATGGTCATTAAAATAGCTTACTTTTTTACGTAAATTATATAAACTACCATGAAAAATGTAGCTGCATATACTAAACTCTTGCAGCACCTTGGATTCGCATTAATTCTAAAAATTATCATTTGATAATGTTCAAAAAAGTGTAATACAGTTATCACCTAATTCTGAGATTCAGTCAATGTTATTTTAATAGCAGAGAGCTGTAATTAAATTTATATGTAGATCCTGACTTTCAAAATCTTTAAGGTCAATGTCATATTTAAATTTTTTTTTCAAATGCAAATGTTAAATCAAATATTCAAGCCAAAGGTCTGTAGATAGATGTGCTTTTAAGACTAACAAGAATAAAAAAGAAATACTTTCATAAATTAAAAAAGAAAAAGCCTTTACTTAGAAAGTTGAAAAGATTTAAAGGAATATTTAAAATAGATTAAAATAAAATGAAAAACCTCATAAAACAGAAATTCCAAAATGTAGTTCACTTTTAATGCAGTTAATTACACATATCTACATGGAATATTAAATGTGTGGATTTAAACTGTGGTGACAGATGATGAAACTATTGAATTTTTAACAAAAGTATCTTAACTACAAATCAAAATAAATATTATTTCTATCTAAGATGTCCCTTTAGAACAAAAGTTCTTAACCCTAGGGATCCCTGGGTATGCTATAAAGGTCTACAGACCCTTTTAGAAGATGCAAAATTTGTGTACATATTTGTATTTCTGGGAGGAGATAGCTTCCACCATATTAGCTCTATGTATGCCCTAACAAGGTTACAAATGACACTGCCATTTTATAGAAGATTTTCCGGACTACTTTGAGGAATTAGCTACTGAGCTTGATGCCTGCTCCATCAATGATGGTAAATATTTAATTGGGTGTTTTTTGTTTTGTTTTTTAATTTGAGACGGAATTTCGCTCTTGTTGCCCAGGCTGGAGTGCAATGGCGCTATCTCAGTTCACAGCAACCTCTGTCTTCCAGGTTCAAGTGATTTTCCTGCCTCAGCCTCCTGAGTAGCTGGAATTCCAGGCACGCACCACCATGCCCAGCTAATTTTGTAATTTTTAGTAGAGACGGGGTTTCTCCATGTTGGGCAGGCTGGTCTGGAACTCCTGACCTCAGGAGATCTGCCTGCCTTGGCCACCCAAAGTACTAGGATTACAGGCATAAGCCACCACACCCAGCCAAATCTTGAATTCTTTTTTTTTTTTTTAAATATTTTATTGCATTTTAGGTTTTGGGGTACATGTGAAGAACATGCAGGATTGTTGCATTGGTACATACAAGGCAATGTGGTTTGCTGCCTTCCTCCCCATCACCCATATCTGGCATTTCTCCCCATGTTATGCCTCCCCAACTCTCCACCCCCTGCTGTCCCTCCTCTAGTTCCCCACCACAGACCCCAGTGTGTCATGCTCCCCTCTCTGTGTCCTTGTGTTCTCATTGTTCAACACTTGCCTATGAGTGAGCACATGTGGTGTTTGATTTTCTGTTCTTGTGTCAGTTTGCTGAGAATGATGGTTGAATTCTTAAGGTAGATTTGACTTGAGGAAATAGCTAAAAAATATAGAAATGTGTTAAATAAATGTGAAGGACAATCCAACTGGCAAAAAAAAAAAAAACATGTTGTACCAAAATTAGAGGTGAATATCGAGTATAAAACTGATTGC